TCTCGTGATGGTGCTCCTTTCTAACCACTACTCTTCTATCTCTTTGAGGCTATTCATCTACCAATTTCTGTTCATTGTCAGAGTGGGTTCTCTGGCGGCTGCTTTTATCATGCCAACGAATTTCCCTAAGTCATTTCAATCATAACCAAATCAATACAGCTGCAGTTCAACTACCAGTCTTCTCCCTGACGCTGTGACCGTCAGAAAGTCCACATCTAGAGTAGCAAACACCCAGTGGATTCCAACTCATTGAGACCCATGTATAACAGAAGGGAACACTGCTAAGTCCTCCCCCATCCTCACAATCATTGCAGTTCACTGCTAAGCTTCAGCACATTGTTGCAGCCACTGTCAATGCATCTCAGTGCCGGTCTTCCCCCTTTTCCTGGTAACATGTCCAAAGTATGAGATGAAGTCTCTTCACACTCAAAAACTCTCACTGCCACTGGGTCGATGCTGACTCACAGTGACCCGACAGGACAGGGTAGAACTGCCCCTATGATTGTGAAGGCTGTAACTCTTTACAGGAGTAGAAAGCCCCATCTTTCCCCAGAGAAGCACCTGGTGGTTTCAAACTGGTGGCCTTGAAGTTGCTTCTAGGTCTCTTCATACTAGCTTCTAAAGAGCATTCTGGCTTCTTATTTAAATAATTAAAAACTCAAAATAAAACCTACCCTCTCCCCTTTACTTAGATTTTCTGCAATTTCAATTAGTGGAACCACATCAAATCTCCAGCATCCCGATTCCTCCTTTTTTCTTTCCATAGCCGACCAAACCAAAACCAAGCCCATGGAATCCATTCTACCTGAGACTGTAAATCTTCTTTTTCCTGACGAGCGGCTGGTGGGAAGGGGGACTTCCAACCTCAGCCTTTCTGTTAGCAGTCCAAAGGGTTCACCCACTAGCCACCAAAACGAAATCCACTGCCATCAACTCAATTCTGATTCTTGGTGATCCCGATAGAGGTCGGAGTAGAACTGCTGCCTAGGAGTTCTGGCATTGTAAATCTTCACAGGAACACTTTCTCTCAAGGAGTGGCTTTGAGCTGCTGACCTTGCAGTTAGCAGTCCACACCACCACCAAAGAGGGCCAGGACCAATCAAATTCTACTTCGTTCTGCTAGTGATGATAGAAAATATAATCCAATAAATGGTCTTCAATTCTGATCACTTTGGCTAGGGACACAACAGGCTGGTCTGGCCTTCTATCACCCTCACTGTCATCTACCTCATCTCCCACCATGTCCCTGTCTAAACCATGCACTTGGTTCATGCCAGTTACAGCTGTCTTCCAAACTTCCCCAAGCCCAGGGCTCCTCCTGGAAAGCTCTTCTCTCTGCTTGCACTTGGCAAAACTGCATCATTCTTCAAAATTTTGCGTGAACTCCAGACTCCACCCACTTCCAAGCTGGGTTAGACATCTTCTCCTCTGAGCTCCCCGACAACTACCCAAGGCATCTCTCTCTTGTCACACTGAGTGCACCGTATTGTAACTGTTCCTTCACTTGAAGGTCTTGAATATTAGGATTCCCTAAGACTCTTTATAAAATAACTGGGAGTCAACAAAAAACAGTTGATTTTAAGATGCATTTAAACTGAGTGCCAAAACGACATGAAAAGCAGTTGACCTCAAGATGCGTTTAAACGGATTGCCAAAACGACACGACTCTGAAAAAAAAGGCGACCCAAAGCAGATCTCATAAAAAGAGAAATACAACAAGGAAAGGAAGCAAGGATAACACACAGGCCTGGCCAACGCCTGGGAATCCAAGTGCAAGTCCTCGTCATGCTAACGTCCTAGAGTGTTCACAGCAACTGTGGTAATAATCTTAGTAACGCAAACCAGGGTAAAACGAACCAACCCAGGACTTGTTTCTGAGCTGGTTCCCTCCTTTGGCACTTGGTTCAAATGAATACGTGAGTACTTGATTTTCAAAGTGTCTCTAGTACCATCTACTGCCACTCAGCCCATTGTGACTCCTAGCAAGCCCCTACAAGCTAGAGTAGAACTGCCCCCATAGGGTTTCCAAGGCTAGAAACCTTTACAGGAGCAGGCAGCCCTATCAGTCTCCCTCTTGGTGGCTGGTGGAATTGAACCACGGACCTTGTGGTTAGCAGTCTAATGTTTAACTCACTGTGGCACCAGTGCTCCTGACTCCATATGATGTGCAAATCTTAAAAGAGAAATTTTTTTCTTTCTTTTTTTGCCTTGCCCGGCTCTTCAAAACCATGGTTCTTTGGACTGACTATTCATCTTGTAAACCTTAAAATGCGTTAGGTTAAAGGATCTAAAAAAACTCTTACGAATCGGCTACAGAATATTCTGATGGAAAGCGAACCTTCTAGGACTACACACTGACTCAAGGTTACCACTAATCCTTATGACTTTATTCAGATAAGATGTTAACAGCTGAAACCTAAAAATTATTCTGAAATTCTTTAAGAACCAAAGAGGCGGCATACCTGCTCCAGAAACCACTGACTGACCCAAAGGACAAACAAATCGCACAAGGACAGCTTGGCCCTGCGGTCTCTGAGACAGCAAGTAGTGGCAGCCACAGGCACCAAGTGCCCCACCTGACCAGCGGCACGGCTACCAGGCGTGTGAGCGCGTATTTATCAGGGAGCCGATCCGGTGCGGTCGGAATCCGCTAGGGCAAAATTAAAAGCATTCAGGAACGCCTCAACTCAGAGGATACAAAGCGGCCGGGTGCCGGTCCAGGGACGTGCTCAACTCTCAACTCCGGGTCTTGAAACGCAATCATTGTTCGGCTGCAGCCCCGAGGGTCCTCGCGGATGCTTACGCCCAGCCCCAGGGAGAACTCCTAGGGAGAGGGGGTCACAGCGACAGGGGGAGAGGGACTCGCCGGTGTAAGGATAACCCCGAAGCAACCCTGGCTGCTGTCTGGCGCTCCTCCACCCCGGCGCGGAACCGCAGACGGAGGCGATCGCCGCTTCCAAAAAGGAGAGGGGTGGTAGTGACCATTTTGGCCCCCGGACTGGACGGAAAGCGGGAGCCTCCCGGGGGAGGGGGCAGAGCTCCCACCCCACGGACTCGAGCAGCCGAGGGACGGCGGGGCGGGTGGCGCCGAGGCGGCGGCCCCGGGG